CAGATGGGCCTCGACCATATCTTTTGAACACGTGTCGGGTTTGTATACTATGTCATATACTGCCGCACCATGTCATAGAATAGATGCCAGGTGCTCTAGAAAGTCCGTTTTACACATGAAGGTTACCTTTTTATACGCACAAATATTGCAGACATGCGTGTAGATAAGATATCTGACCATCTTCCATCTATCTATCTGCCTATCCATGTATCTATCCATCTGTCTATTTGTCTACCCATCCATCTGTATATTCATATACATACTGGTCTCAGCATGGATGATGTCACCGACCTCTTAACCTGGCAACTTACAGACATTGTAAAACCCGGATGCAATCTATGACAGGATATGTTATGGCACCGCACAATAGACAAAGCACGTGTGTGTAGTGTATATGTTTTCGCCGATTTGCAGAAATACCGTCTTGCCACGGTCACATTAGCTGTGCGTTGTTGTGGGGCCCAGTATAGCAAGTCATTGAGAAATGCGGCTGTACTGAGATATTGCAATGAAGATTGAACTGAGTACTCACACGCCACAGCCTTCAACGAGTCAAGACCTAGGGGAATCAGAACACGGAAAGTCGGCTCTGCACCCGAGAGTACTGGGTGTTAAAGTTGTAGAATGAGCTGGAACGATGTATGAAATACTTACTCATGTTTCATATTTCCTTTCACTTCGCTTACGAGCGCCGGCATATCTGCCGTGCACTTCGTATTGTGGCAGTAGAGCGTACCATGGTAGTGCAAACACAGAAGCAGTGCATGCATAGGCTTGTGAGTGTATGTATCCTTGTATTAGTAAGCGAAGGCATGCCCGGGTTTCTGTGTGCATCGTTAGTTACAGCGCCATAAAACCAGATGTGTATAATATATGTGTTCCCCTACTGGCAGAAATATATACAGTTTTGCGATAGTCATTGGGGTTGCGGATTGGGCTGAGACGCCACATAAGCAAGACGTACTGACATACTGAAATACTACAATACAGACTCAACTGCGTAGTACTCTCGCAAACACACAGACCTTCACCACCGAGTCAGGACATCAGGGAATCAGAACACGGCAAGGCGGCTCTGCACCTTAGATTACCGGGTGCTAACGTGGTAGGTTAAAGTGTTAACATAAGCTGGAATGATACATGAGGCAACTGCTTAAATGATTCTTTCATTTCGCTTGGAAGCGGCTTAGTGGTTTGTGGTGGTAGAGCATTCCACGGTTCATGCAAATATATACAAAAATCACATGTACGGGCTTTTGAGTTTATGCTTGCTTGCATGTGTATCTGTAAGAATAAACATGCCGGCACATTCACGTATATATATATATATATTCAAGCACATACATGCCTCATAATGTTACACCTTTGTCAACAGTAGCATGCGTAAATGCATGCGCGCATAGCAAAATTCTATATGAGACCAAGAAACACAGTACTCAAAAAACCCAGGCCCCATGGCAGTCCCTTCTGGACAGGCCCCATGGCAGGCCGCTCTCTATGTATAATAGTACATGTCGTCTATGGCATATATACTACTAGATAGAGTTTTGGCCATGTCTCACATCTACCGATCGTTTCACCTGTCTATCCCATTTATATATAGCTAGCTGTGTTGCTGTCCTCCAATGCTCCTTCTCATCCTCTCCTTCTCCTTCTCTCCCTCTTTTTCTCTCTCTCTCTCTCTCTTGCTCGCTCTCCGTCTCGCTCTCCCTCGCCCTCTCCCTCTCCGCTATCCCTCTCCCTTTCTCTCTCCCTTTCTCTCTCCCTTTCTCTCTCTCTCTCTCTCTCTCTCTCTCTCTCTCTCTCTCTCTCTCTCTCTCTCTCTCTCTCTCTCTCTCTCGCTCTGTCTCTTCTCCTTCTCCTCTCTGCTCTCCTCTCGTCTCTTATCTTGCCTCTCTCTGCTGGCCAGGGAAAGCAAAGCGCATCTGATGAAGCAGATGGCTTCCGCAACCCGTGCTGATGTTGCCCTGAACAATGTGCTCTCGCGGGCCAGGCTGGTATGTTCCATGAAACCCATACAGCATAAACCTACTGGCTGCTTATAGAATTCCGAATTGCCTGCAGGGCTTTGAAGCCTCCCAAGAAGGCCGGGGCGAAGGCCTCGCCGAAGACCAAGGAAGTGCCAAAGAAAGGAAAGAACAAGCGCTCGGCTTCGCCTCCGAAAAAGAAGGCGGCTAAAGCTGAAAAGAATCGCAAGCTCGGCAAGCTGAAGGCTATGAAGCTCCGTGGGAAGGCTAAGAGGAACGCCCGCAAGTGAGCGCATGATCGGGATGCCGAGTTTTGACATGTTTAAGTGGTGGGATGCTTCAGTACTCATGATACAACCAATGTTCGAAGATAATTCGTGCTGATTCAGAATCCCACTCAAAGCTTTTGTTGCGATGGCCCGGGCCTTTATGCAAAAGGAGGCCACATCTCTCTGAGCTTGAGGAAAGCTGCTCGTGCACAAAGACGCCTACCTTTGTGGTCGGGAGGTTTGATACGCCTTTGCGAAGCTGCCAGTGTTAATTGTAGCTATCCTAAACAAAACTTTCTATTTGGAGGAGCCGTGTTGACTGGTACATTGCACCAAGCCCAATCTGTTGTGCAACCTCTTGAAACCTTACAGGTGGCAACTAAATACCGGTAGCCTGGTGCCATTTCCCAGCAGCAGTTGATATCGCATAGCCTGGGCCGTGGTAGCTGCTCACGCATGATTCTGCTTTCAATATGCCAGGGGCAATTGGTGGCCGCCACAACAGTGCACCAGGCCAGGGTCGGGCATGAGGTCGTTAGCGCAACGATGCTGACATGTTGCTAGGCTACGGTCGTGCTGGTTCTGATGACGAGGATGAATCTTCCGATAGTGAGTTGGCCTTGGAGCTCTTGGATGACTACTTGAGTGGGGCCTCTTGCCTGGAATTTGAGTACGATTTCGGAGCACAAACTGTGCATACTGTTGCTTGGAGTGGTGCTCAGGCTACAACAGCCAAGCGAACTTGTAAGATCGCCTCTATGATATGTCGTGGACGAAAACGAACATCACGATTCGGCGCCGCAGCTGAATAATTGTGAGCTGGTACCCCCTACCACATCCACTCTGTTGTGGTAAACTTAATAAGAAATCCAAGGCCGAGATGATCTACTGTACAGAATAGCACGTGCTGGACAATCCAAGACCAATGCAAGTCTAGTGTCCGCGTGCGGGTGCTTCTGTCTGCTGGGTGGGGCGTAGGAACGAAGCGGAACCAAAACCATCTTGACGTCTCACCTCCCTTGCTCGAGTTTTAAAGAAAAAAATTTTCTAACGAATTTTCGACATGCTTGATTTCATGTTCATGTTCCCTTTTTCATGAACAGTGAAGCATGTTACTGCATCTGAAGCTCACCGGCTTGCAGCCGAACCTGGAGGACGAAGGGAGCGATGCTGCGCGTTGGGCTCGCCTCCGGCGGCTTGAGCAGGCACGGCGGCCGCTCTTGGTGTCACTGGACAATGTGGTTGCGGGCGGGGTTGCTTCAGCTTCGGCCGGGCCTATGGACACCAGTGGCGTATCGACTCCTGGGTCACCAGTGACGGCTGTTGCTCCTAGCCTTCCCGAGCTCGCTCAGCGCCTGGAGGTGGCGATTGAGCGCCTGGATGGTCTTGATGCTATGGTCGCCACTTTGACCCACCGTCTGGATTTTGCGCTAGATCGCATTGGTTTCATCGAGGACCATTCTCTTGTCCAGCTTGAGAAAATTATCCGTGATCTTCGACTACGACTCTCTGAGTGTGAATCCCATGCGTTGACTGACCTCAGCAGTCGCAATGAGCTTCGAGATGATCTCACTCGGCATGTTCAGGCTTGCGGCACCCCTGAGGCTCATGCCGGACTCCGGCGTCAGCTGGCGCAGATTTCTCAGGAGGTGCAGTTCTTGATGGAGACACGCCCTGGGCCTCGTACTCCATGATGCCGGGACGGAAGCAGGGCGGTTTTGACTCTGGAGACAGCTGTCTTCTTCTGGGCTTGGGCCATAGATTTTGTTGGCTGCTGGATCCTCGAAGGTGCTGGCAGTTCCATTTTGTAGGCCAAGGTGTTTCGGATCACCGCTGATACAGCGAGCTCAAAAACCAGTCCGTGCTTGCGTGAGTTCTCCCGCATGTCGCGAGTTCAGTTCATGCCTGAGTGCTTCTCTGAAGTCCCAGACGCATGTGAATGATCAAATGCTTCCGTGCCGCCTCTCTGGCTGAGGGGCGAGTCAGGAAGTTACCGGAGTCCATGTCATGCTTTAATCATGTTGCATGAGCCGCCGTGATCATAACGCCTTTGCATACTACCTGTCGTAGCAGTCTCTGATGGATGCGCCTCGGCCTCGGTCTGCTTCAAGCTGCAGGGAGTCTTCTTACTATTCCGAGTCCAGTGAATTCTCCAGTGAAGATACCGAGAGCAGCGAACCACCTGTTACAGTCTTCGTGCCTCTTCGCATTCGCTTGCGCAGCTTTCATGTGCCTCGCCTCGAACATTGTGCTAGCAGCCGGCGTGGATTCAAGAACCTCATTTTGCGAAACCACCTCGTGGCTTTCACGGCTAGCTACAGGTTCGCCCGGGTTCTCTTGTACCTCGAGGCCGATCAGTGGGTGCACTTAGCTTCGAGTGCTCGTACCGTGCATTGCCGCTTGTGGCAATTCTTCAGGCTTCGCCCCTAACGCCAGTTGCCCCGCGTTTCCTGGCTCCCTCCTTCCTTCTTTCGGTTTAGGTCCCTCTACCATAATCCCTGCTCACCTTCAACTTTCCTGCCACGGCTGGCGGGGGATCGGAGTGGCAGGAAGTCTTCGTCTCAGAGCGTCTTCGTGCAAGGGAAGAACATTGGGAATGGATTTGAGCGAAGGGCAGTGGAGTGTTTTTCCAAGGGAACGCACAGCGTGCTTGTAAAAGCTGATCCTTGCCGTCGTGCAACTGTGCTTTGCGTCTGTCATTGCATAAGGGCATTAAAAGTGAACTGCTCGGCTGTGCTTGTAATCTCGAGTTTTGGAAGGCAGGATGCAGGACTTCGAGTCTGATTTTGAGCCATTCGGCCATGGCGAGGATTTGTTGGACGAGGTCCAGGATGGGGCCTCGGAACATAGAAGCTATGGCTGTGAGTCTAACTTGGGGAGCTCCGACGAGAAGGAGCGGTCGTGGTCCCATGTAGGAGGGTCGCGTCGAGACGAGGCCGAGTGGTACCGCGAGGCTGCTGAGGATGGCCCCGACAATGATGGGGCTGAGTTCTTCAGACCGGCCCGGCCCCAGCATAGAGCTCAACGATCAGTCGCACCGTACGAGGCTGCGGAGGTCCACCCTGCTGTGGCTCAGGCTCTGTTTGAGGAGAAGAGAAAGTCATCCTTGAAGTTCATGTGGGAGACCGGTTTTGGGAAAGAGGTCTTCAGCGGGCCATTGGGATTTTGCCCGACTTACCCGTTTGCTCTGCCGGTGCTTGGTCGAGCTGATCTCTTTGCGCGCATGACTTCGTCGGCCTCTTCGTCCAATCGGACCGATTGGGTTGCTTTGCAGCCCTTCAAGGCTAAGAGGTTGTTCGCAACCCGGATGTCCCGTTCCGAGGACCAGTTGAGGATTGCGGCGATCTCTAGGATAAAGGAGGTTGTCTTGTATGACCCAAACGACTCCCGCCTTGGCCGATCATTGCTTGAACTGAGCGGGATGCTGGTGCCAGAACACCAAATGGTGGCCATCTTTGACGATACCTATGCAAAGAAAGCTACCAGTACTTTGAGCAAGAGATCCTGTGACTACTTGAAGTTCGCGAAGTGGCAGGTTCAGGTCAACCATGGCAAGCCTCTGAGGGTGCTCGAGAAAGACATGTACGATTACGTTTGTCAGCTTCGAACCTCTGAGGCTGCGCCGACGTCGGCAGCGGCCTTCATTTCGGCCTGGCGTTTCTTCCACTTCACTACCGGGAGTGCCTCTGAGGACAACATTGTCTCTCAGCGAGTCGAGGGGGCAGCCCACACTTGCTACCTGAAGAAGCGGCCTCTCAAGCAAGCTCCTCCGTACAAGGTGTTGCAGGTCAGAAAGCTCGAGGCCATTGTCTTCGCAGGCAGTGATTTGCATGCGGTGATCTGTGGATTCGGGCTGTTTTGCCTTTTCTCTACTGCAAGGTGGGGGGACGCAGCCAAAGCCACCGGTCTCAAGATGGATTCCCATGGACGTGTGTTCCTAGTTGAGGCAGTGATGCTTGGCCACAAGACGGCCAAGAAGGCCGACGACAGAACAACGTTCATGCCCCTCATCGCCCTGGGACACACCTTCGAGGAGGAACCTTGGGCAACAGCTTGGCTGAGTGCCCGCTCAAGGATGGGTCTGGATGAGAGCATGATGATCGTCACTTACGGTCGTGATGTTATGACGCCCGTCTTGGCAAAGCTCCAGCATCTGGTTGATGCCATCAGAAGTCACCAGTTCGACCCGGATCAGCCCAGGGCGGCCAGGTTGCACAACCTTGTTCAGAAATTGAACGAGGAAGCGGACATCGAGCCTTATGCCGAGCGCCAAGCACATGACTTGGAAAAGCTCGACGAATCTGAGTTGTCTGATGTATCCGCCGAAGACCATGATGGACTTGGAGCGTTGCCCAGCCTGGTGCCCGGTCTCACTGAAGATCGCGAGCCGCCAGAGACAGGAGCCTACGTTCGCCATCGGATCTCATATATCGTTCACGCCCTCGGGACCCCTGCCTCCATGCTGAGATGCGGGCGTACCTTGAATGGGAATTACGAGAAGTACACATTTAACCCTCGGCAGCCGGGCGAAGATGTCTTTTGTGAACAATGCAGGTCCGCCCGAGCCCCGTGGGATCAGGCAGCCTGACCAATGGAAGATTTGGCAGGAGAAACAAAAAGGCGTCAAGCACTGACCGGCATTGCCGAGGTGGTCAACGCAACCGGGTGAACCCGACGACGCGACTGTAAGCTTTTGCTTCAGTTAGAGTTTTTGCTTGCTGGGAGATCTCCTGAGCCATGGCGTCTACCATATTAGAGTCTGAGGCCGAATTCACGGCCCGAGCCCAGGCCATCAACATGGAGGCGGCCTTCTTGGATGCTATCCGGAAGGCCGGCATCAAAACGTTTGGGCGCCTGGCTTACATATGTGCTGTGAACCCTCAGAGCGGTGATGATACCGGACTGATCCAAGCGGTCGAAGACTTGATCAAGCGGAAGCTCGACCCGACCGAGATCCCTGACTTGAGGAGGCTCTGGTACGAGGCCAACACGTTTGCCATATCGGATCTCAAACAGAGAGTCGAAAGATCATCCCTCGACCCTCCTCGCGAATTACCTCTTGCTGAGAGAATGACCAGACTTCAAAATCAGAAGAAGAGGCTGCAGGGGGTGGTGTTCACCGAACGGGTGGAACCGTCTCATGGGCTCATCGACAAAATCCAGTCGATGATCGACTCCGGCGCTCTTGTATACCTTCCGCCGCACAAGTGCCCGTCTCGAGCTTTAGAAATTTCGGCCGATCGTCCCGGGCAACAGGTCACGCTGGATGCTCAAGGTGGGCTGAAGGTGTCGAAGAAACAGCTTGAGCTGGAATGCGACGTCCATGGAGAACTTCGCCTCCGCGAGGCCTTTACTCGACGGGCCTTGGCCTTCGACCAGCTGAACGTCCTGTCCTATCCTTTGCAGTTCATGAAGGATGGCATACTCACATGTTTGACGCCATCACACGTGATCCTCCGCCAGGGCATAAGTTCACCAGCATGGCTCAGGCACTGAATGCCGATCGTGAGCTGTGGCAGCTCATTGCTCAGGAAAGCCGAGGCGAGCTCAAAGTCGTTGCTGGCGCCGCCCCGCCGTTGGATAAGTTCATGGCCGCCTTGTCCACGCACACCCGTGTCAACATCTGCCTCGCCAATCTCCCGAAAGGCTCCGGCAAGGGTCCGGGGGGCAAGACGGATCATACGGGCCAGGAGGCCAAAGGGGGTCGTGGTCGCGGTGGCAAAGGCTCCAAGGGCGACAAAGGCAACAAAAGAAAATGGGATGACTCTGTGGACCCCAAGCGTGCTGAGATTTTGCAGTTGCTCAAGGAGATGCCCAAGGGTTGTGTGTCACGCATGCCGAAGACTCGGCAATTCCTATGTGTCCTGTTCCAGCATGGCAAATGCCCTCAGCAGTCTAAGGATCGCTGTGACCGCGGACTGCATAACTGCTGGCATAAGGACTGCTTGCGCAAGGGAGTCCCATACTGTGAGTGCAAGCACTCGTGACTAGGCCCTCCGGGCCTACCCACTACGGACGTGGCACCATATGCAGTTCTCGTCGAGTTGTGCTGTGGCTCGGCCATTTTGTCCCACGCAGCTGCGTCCCAAGGATGGCAGGTGTATCCCATCGATCATCACAGCAATCGTTTTGAGTCCCTTGTTTCTTTTCTCCCGCTTGATTTGAGCACACTCTCTTCGCGTAAGCTTGTGGATGACCTCATCCACCACGTGCGGCCGCTTTGGATCCATTTTGGCCTTCCTTGCGGCACGTCAAGCCGAGCCCGCCAGTTGCCAGTTAGCCCCAAGCTGCGTGCCAAGGGAGTCCCCGCCCCTAGGCCTCTTAGGTCGGCTAGGTTCCCCTTAGGGTTACCCGATCTTTCACCGCTTGAGCGCCAACGTGTGGAGTCAGCTAACGCTGTCTATGTGACTTGCGTTCATGCGCTATTCGCAGCTTGGAAGGCCAACGCTCTTATCACAATTGAGAACCCGTCTCGTGCATGGACGTGGGCGGCTTTGGCTCAGCTTGTTACCCGCTTCGGACGTGATCATGGCTGCCCAGACTTTGTTGACTGGTTCTTTCAGCTTGAGGATGTCCATTTTTCGATGTGCATGCACGGGGGCCAACGCAAGAAGGACACCCGCCTACGCTCCAGCCCAGGCGCCTTCAGCTCCTTGGCCGTGGACTGTGATGGACTTCACGATCACGCCCCATATGGGCACAAGTGGTCCGGAGGCAGATGGAACTTCGACACAGCCTCCGAGGCACAGTACCCACAATTGTTGTGCAAGCGTCTTGTGTCAGCCGCTACTGCCGCTGTTTCGCCTGCGCTCCTGGATGCCACGAGGCTGCACTTCCGTCTCGACTCCTTGGCTGCTGTTGGCGCCCAGACCGTGAAGCATCCACCTTTGATACCCGAGTTTAAGTCTGTCCTGTGGGGCGCTGATCGCCCGAATCAGCCATGCAAACCGCTACCCGACGTCCCCTGTTCTCAGTGCGACAACTGCCCGGCTGCCCCCGGGTGGCCCGTCCCGTTGTCCCTTGACATTTCGATTGAGACCCCTCTGAGTGCCGAGCCGGCTGAAAAACTGGCGTGGACCATGCTACAGGACCGCGAGGCGTCCCAGGATCAGGTTCTTCAGATGGTTTCCTTGCTGTCACAGTCTCCTAGTTCGAGGCGAGCCAAACTACATGAGGGCTTGGCGTGGATGACTGGGGCTTATGTCTTCGGGCCTCAAGCTGGGCTGCATGGGGCCTCGTCTTCTATGCCGGCTGTCAGCTGCGTTTTGGCCCAGTTGGCCCGACATTTCGCACCGCAGGCTGCCTTTTGCGCTTTGGCTGTCTTTTCTGACTTCTACAGCCCTCGGCATGTGGATCAACACAACGATCATTCTTTCATGAACGTGGTCATTCCGCTTTCCTGCTTCCGGCAAGGAGGCATCTCTGTCAACGATACCGTTCTACCGGTGTCCGAGGGACCCTGTTTCCTGCAGTCAGCCATGCCGCACGAGGTGCTGCCAGCCCTGGGCAAGAGAGTCACTCTGGTGGCTTATGTTACGCGGGCCTGGCAAGGTCTGTCCCCTGCCCAATGTCAGACCTTGCGGAGCTTGGGTTTTCTCTTGCCATCAGACTGCCAATCACCCTCCAACACGGCGGGGGAACATGAAGCCGGGCGATTGGTGCATTCTCAGCCTGGAGGCCCTAAGGCGTGTGCTTGGGGAATCTACCATTCGATGGAGGAGCATGTGCAGAAGGCCTCAAATTTGAATCACCCAGTGGACTCTACGGGGTCAGTGCCGGACAACATCAGAAGGGCCATTTTCGACATTGCCACATTGGGACCAACCTTCATTCGGGAGCTGAGGGAGAAGGAGATCGTCTCGATCGAGAAGAGGGCAGCTGAGCTAGGCAGCGACAACAAGCACCCCATCACCAAGGGCAAGTGTCTTTCCTTGTTCAGGGAGCTGGTGACTGAGACACTGTTCCCCGACCTTGAAGTTTGCACCTTTATGGAAGAGGGCGTCCCTTTGGTTGGAATCGAGCCTTCTTCTCCATTGTTTCCACCGAGACCCAGACCGATGAAGGCGACCCCGGAGCAGCTTGACTCTCAGGCTGCATGGAGAAGACGTGAGCTTCTGTCGAAACCTCCCCAGGCCTTGGCCGATGACGAATTGGAGATTCTCAATGCCGAGACCGAGGAGGAGTGCCGATTGGGATTCCTGGAAGGGCCATTCTTTGACGAAGCTGCAGTCACGGAAAGATTAGGCTCGGAGGAGTGGTCTCCCAGCCAACGCTTTCTTCTCCTCCAGGGCGAAGAGCGCAAGCCCAGAGTCATAGATAACCTTCGCGACTCGGGCGTCAACGCATCGTTCGGATCTACATCGCATCTTCATCTCCACGATATAGACTTTGTAACTGCCCTGACGATGCTCATAGCCGACGTCTGGAACTGCAAGGACGAGGTCAGGGTCCCGCTGTCCACGGGGGAGGTTCTCACTGGCTGTTGGCATCCGGATAGCTTGCGGGCCGAGTGGACGGGCCGATGTTTCGACTTGTCGAAGGCCTACAAGCAGGTCCCAGTGCTCGAATCATCCCTCAAATACGCTGTGATCGCGATGCCTGATCGAAAACGCAAATGGGTCTTCTACCTGGCTCGTGGTCTTCCCTTTGGTGGCAGTGGATCCGTCTTTGCATTCAACAAGGTGTCGAGAGCGATATGGCATGTGGCCGTGGAGAAGCTGCGCATGGTGACCTCAGTGTTCGTAGATTTCCCGACTCTTGAAATTGGGCCTCTAACCCAAAGTACAACTTCGGTCTTTTCGCGACTGCTGACGGCCCTCGGCTGGGTCCATGCTACCACTGGCAAGAAAGCGATTGACTTCACCAGCATGTGGGTAGCACTTGGCGCCAAATTTGATGTTTCTAAACTTCATGAAGGTCGTCTTGAAATTTCAAACAAGGAGGGGAGAGTCGATCGGATTCGAGGCATGGCAGGTGCGATGCTTGACGAAGGTGCTGATCTGCGCCAGCTGGCGACTTCGCTGCATGGCTTGCTTAACTTCGCCTCAGGCTTCACCCTCGGATCGTCCCTGAAACCGATTGCAAGGATCTGTTCTAGAATTTCAGCGCGGCCTTCGAGCTTTGGGGCGGAAGCGCTGAAGCAAATGAATGACCTGCTTGCTGCGACTCTCTCATCTCTCAGACCGAGGACGATTACCGTTTCTGACCCCAGGAAGCCGGTGATCGTCTACACCGACGGGTCCTATGAGGACGAAGTTGCCAAGTGGGGTTCTTTCTTCGTGGACCTAGAGTCGGGAGAGAAGTTCGTCTTGGCCGGAGTCGTTCCAGAAGAGATCCGTAAGATGTGGCACACTCAAGTCGGCGAGCAAATCATCTGCGAGGTGGAGCTCTTCGCTGTGGTCTGCGCGAAGTGGGTTTATGGTAAGAGGATGTCTGCTCGCAAGGCGTTCATCTTCATAGATAACAACTCTGCGCTTGCGACTCTTATCAAACGAAGCAGCCAGTCAGAAGCGATGTTCAGACTGATGGCGCTCGTAAATGTCTTGGACTCGGTACACCCTGTCGGAGCATGGTATCACCGGGTCCCTTCCAAGAGCAACCCGGCTGACCTGCCGTCGAGGGACGAGTCCAGCGAGCTTTGCCGCATCTTCAATGCCATTGACCAGGGTGAGTTTACGCCCCCTGAGGAGATGGTCAGATTCATCATGGAGCCGAGTTTCTGTGTTGCATCGCTCGAGGCTGCTGTGGCTGCTTATACGAAGCATCAGCCATGACGGGGGAGAATCTCCGATGCTTCCAGAGATGTGTGATCAGATACCAGATGCGAGCCAGACAAGTGAGTCTCTCCACTTGTGGCTCCTTGCGATTTCCCCTGTGTCTTACAAGCACCGAGCAGATGCGAGGGAGTGTGAAAAAGACCGTGCGGGTCTTTCGGCGACCGTGACATTCTGGGTGATTGAGATTTTCTTTATATTCCGGAAAGATATTTGATTGATTCCTTTCCGAGATATACGACATTTATATATCGTGACTTTTAATACTTTGATGTACGGGTTTTGGTACCACCCGGCAGACGTCTAGTGTCCGCGTGCGGGTGCTTCTGTCTGCTGGGTGGGGCGTAGGAACGAAGCGGAACCAAAACCATCTTGACGTCTCACCTCCCTTGCTCGAGTTTTAAAGAAAAAAATTTTCTAACGAATTTTCGACATGCTTGATTTCATGTTCATGTTCCCTTTTTCATGAACAGTGAAGCATGTTACTGCATCTGAAGCTCACCGGCTTGCAGCCGAGAAAGTTTTGACCCACCCGCCCTACCCGGGGAGAATCTCTGATGCTTCCAGAGATGTGTGATCAGATACCAGATGCGAGCCAGACAAGTGAGTCTCTCCACTTGTGGCTCCTTGCGATTTCCCCTGTGTCTTACAAGCTCCGAGCAGATGCGAGGGAGTGTGAAAAAGACCGTGCGAGTCTTTCGGCGACCGTGACATTCTGTGTGATTGAGATTTTCTTTATATTCCGGAAAGATATTTGATTGATTCCTTTCCGAGATATACGACATTTATATATCGTGACTTTTAATACTTTGATGTACGGGTTTTGGTACCACCCGGCAGACCTCGCAATCTGATGTCCGTCATCAATCCACAGAATGTGATGCTCCCGGTCAATATTGATGTTCTGAAGATCAGCATCAAAAAAAAAAGACCGACTACCAGGACCATGGATGTTTGGTGGCCTGTCCTCAAAATGTCTGCTTGGATCTCAACCCTTCTCTCTTGCCGCCCTGAAGTCTTGCTCGGTGGTTATTGCCCAGAAGACCCTCAATGGCGCAATATCTTTTCCACCTTTTGGTCTTACTACAAGGAGGTCAACCCTGACCACGTGTTGTATGCTGACAACTCCAGGGATCGAGCTTGCTGCCTGCCGTACATGTTGCACGGCGACGAAGGAAGAGGCCTCAGGAACAAGCCACTATGGATTGAAAGTTTTCAGCCTGTGATAGGCCATAAAGGCAGTGCTTACACAAACGAGGCTGGGCACCCTAGATTTGATGCTGGAAACATATATTTCCGTTTTCTGTTAATATGTAAAAATTTAAACAATACCATATACTACAGTTAGACTTCTTACTTATAGTCTTCTTCTTGTCAATTAAGGCATTCGATGCAAACCCGGTTCCTCTATGTCGTTATTTCATCCCTGCTGTTTGACGGAGAAAAGACCTGCGACCAGCTTCACGAAGCCTTTGCTGAGGATGCTGCGATGCTCTACAGAGATGGTGTGGAGGCTCTCTGGCTATTCTAGTTGGGTTCTACATAGCAGGGAGTACGCTATAGTGTTTGTGCACTCTACATGACCTATAGGTAGTACAGAATCTTGCAGTGCAGTTAAATCGTTAGCTTATACTATTGGGGTGGCTTTTATAAATTTATCATTGGCCCCAGTGCAGATGAGCAATGGCCAACGGCTGTATCCGGTATGTGTCGGAGTGAAAGGCGACTAACCGTATCTTCGAAAGGTTTCCAAGCTGCACATCCTTTGTTTGCTATCATGTTACAAAGCATTGGGGATCGTTTGTGATTCCAAGCTCACCAAGACGAACATCTCGAACACCTTCCTCAATCACATCTGAGTCTGAGGGGTGAATCTCACCTTCGGCACGAGCTGGCTCATGCAACCAGGCCCCCCTGGGAGAGTCGGGAGACTCCAAGCGAAAAAAAAATCGATCACGAACTCCTCCACCTTCGAACTCATCTGGCACTCTGCCTTCTGGCACTCTGCCTTCAGCAGCTCCACTGTTGGCGTTATTGTTAGGGCGAGGATAGCCATTTTCAAGCATCGGCCTTGGCGGCACTATTGGTGGCGGCGGGTTGTCTGCAGCATTGAAACAAATGGCACAAATTCGCCGTTCCAACTGCCGACGTTGCATCTCCTCAGGTGTCAAGTTCTGAAGGGTGACCAGAACAATGCGGCCCTCCCTAACAGTAACCCCATCCGGCTCGAAGTTGATCAAGATCGGGGTCTCAGGAATGTCCAACGCTTCTGCCACAGCTTGGGCAATCTCAATCTCATGTCGCGCAGGGGCAGGAGGTCGTGGGCAAGGTGGCCGATTCGCAGGTATTAGCGGCGGCGGACCCATGGGTGGCCCTGGTACTCTGCCTTCCGCCCCACCGCCCTCTTCACCAATGCCATTCACAACGGTTGGCGGCACTCTACGAGGCCGTCGCTTCGGAGTCCTCACCCGGCCGATCCTCCCCGCTGCTGCCGGCTTGGCCTTCGGCTTCGGTGCCATGGTGCTTAACTTTAAATATCTTTGATCCACCAAGTTGCAAGCAACTACCTGTGCTGGATAGTACGAACAGGTACTAGATGTTGATTGTCATGATCGTTTCAATACCACATGCAATATGTTCCACTGGACGACACAAGCATTTATGCACATGATCATTAGATGAACACATACTTGAAGACAGAGTGCTAATGGATGATGTAGTTTAATGTTCCAAAGCAGTATGCCCCATAATAAGTATATGCATATAATCCATACATACATATATATATATATCTTATATATACCTAGGTCTATGTATAAACTTACCACACACAGTAACGGTTTAGGGTTTAAAAGAGCTTCAGGGTTTTAGGTTTTAAGGAGGTCCATGGTTTAAAGGTACTTAAAAGCAGAGTGCCACCTAGCTTATGCTTAATCATAAGATGTGTTACTACTCGTAGGGATTTGGTTGGGTTAGCTGGACTGTGCCGATTCAATGGGATTCGATATTGTATAACTAGCTCCCAAGATTCAATAAGCTCCAACAAGACTTTTGGGAGGGGATGTTACATGTGTGCAATTGTCTGGTACAGGGTCGGTGTGCCTTCAAAACGTGATGGCCCGAACACTAAGATTCAATAAGATTTTTTCGGGTAGTCCGTAATTCTGCAAATGTCTTCTAAGATTCAAAAAGATTTTTTTGGGCGAGCTGGAGGCGGTATCCCTTGTAAATTCGATAAGATTCAATAAGATTCAATAAGATTTTTTCGATGTAGGCCACAATTCTGCAAATATCTTCTAAGATTCAGTAAGATTCAATAAGATTTTTTGGGGCGATCTGGATTCGGCACCCTTTTAAAAATGATAAATCAATAAGATTCAATAAGATTCAATAAGATTCAACAAGATTTTTCCGGGGCATGCCACAAGTGCCACAAATGTCTTCTAAGATTTTGCAGGGCCTGTGGGGCGGTATGGGGATGGTGTCCCTTAAAAGGTCATATGCTTTTTTAACACGGATGCACCCCATTGCAGACTTCCGTGGTCCTTTGTTGGGTCCCTCCCAATTGGTTATCTAGGACAGGTTGGATCCTGCCTTTGGCGCGGATTTGTCCACAGGCATCTGCAGTATCCTTGTGAAATCGACAGACCGCCTTGGATTACAAAGAGACATACATTCCTGATGGCATAATGCAACACAAGGCAACACAATCATATCAATACATAATAATTATGGAACACATGTTACAACCCATGGCACTCTGCCTTCAGAAACATGTCTGTGACAATGGCATTGCCACACCTCCAAAATTAATAAGACTCGAGGCGACATCACCGACAACACATACACATGAGCCAGTAATTGTGGCACTCTGCCTTGTTACCGAGCCACCTTGTCGACGCAATCAGTCCACCACGGGGTCGTTGACCTCAGGAGCTTCACGAGTGCGGTCGTCAACGAGTTGAGCTTGTATTTCCTGAACGAGTGCGTCCACATCATCTTCGACAGGAACAGGGGCATTGCTTCCCGTGGACCCCTTCGGACCAAAAAAGAACCTTGCCGTAGAGGCCGAGCTCGCACACTTGAGAGGGCAAGCCGTGGCCTTGTTCCGCCCGGTCGAGTCACAGTATCGATTGATACATTCGCTGTGAAAGAGGTGGCCACACGACAGCGCTTCCAATGCCTGCATTCCAGGGAAGCCACAGAAAAAGACACGTCATGTGAGAGGTAATCTTCTGAGGATTAGTGGAATATACAAATAGGACAGGCACCACGAATCATTAACCAAAGGCAAACGAAACCAGCCTGCCTGGCCCGGGTGCATCTCCGAATGGCAAATGACACAGATGTCCTGGTTCCACCGGTTCGCAGGTCTGCTCGACTCATTCGGAGCATTCTCCTCCTCCTCTTCCTCCTCAAACAAGAAATTGTCGTCGGCCTCGGCCTCGACCTCGGCCTCGACCTCGGCCCCGGCCTCGGCCCCGGCCTCGGCCATGGCCTCATCATCGACCTCGATTGCGACCTCGTCTTGCGACTCTGTATTTGGTGCCATCGCCCTGGCCTTGGACTTGGCCTTGGCTTTCGACTTGCCCTTGGCTTTTGCTTTGGCTTTCGACTTGGGTGTCGCAAAGGGCACAACGGCATTCACGTCAGCACCAGCTGTCGAGTCACTGTTCGTGGAGGTGTCTGGCCCTGGCAACTCAACTGTTTTAGGTGCAGTGGTCACTTCTGCAGGAGGCATGACGATCTCCTGATCGGGCCTGATCTCTGCCTCTTCCGGCTCTAGACCATCGTCATCCATGGCGGCTGGGCCTTGGGACTTGGGCCTAGGCCTTAGATCTGGACCCTGGGATTTGGGCCTGGGCAGGACTTGGATCTCGACCTGAGGCTGGGAGAATCCCAATCAATCCCATTCTTAAGATAAAGGGCTAGATTTGATCAAAGATCGTGGAATGGCCTGGGCCCTAGGCAAGTTTTGATCTTGGGATCTTGGAGCTTAG